AAAAAAAAAAAAAAAAAGGAATCTCTAAGTAGAAAATACTGACTTCTTTATTTTAATTTTTCACTTTCACATTCAATAACCAATGATTTAATCCCTCAAACTGTGCATTGTTCAAGCCTTTTTACTACCTGCCAGAATCCAGGCCAACTACTTCACAATTAAGTTATGAGTACAGACGCTAAGATTCTACCATATATGGCAACCCAGAAACCTTCCACATTGCATAGCAAGAAGGAATCATCTAACTGTTATTCACAAGTATCCAGAAACTATTACCCTTTCACAGTCTTTAAGACACGATCCTTGTCAGAGAGACTTCCCCTTCTAGCTGACCATGGAACCTCAGCCTTGACTAGCGTAGGAGTAGGTCCTCCCTGAACAAAAAGAAAGTCATTAAAAAAATACAAAATTTATTATTCCAACCTAATAGATAAGAAATGAAATCGTTATCTTATTAAAAATAACGTATCAGCATATGACAATTACTTTTAATAGAGTAATTCTAATACGGCCAGCACAACTTAATCATCATCAGTTACTAGTCTAAGGAGGAATGGGTTAGACTTAACAAGAACATCATACAGCAAATAAGGAGCTCTAAATAAAAGTAATTTCCTTTCTTTAACAGCAGTTCAGAATAAAAAATAAAAAACTTTGATGATTGTAATTACTACAACTAAAGAGTTCAAGTTAGTTCTTCTCGATACTTACAAACTCCAAGTGCAAATAAATATAATAAAAAAAATAGTAAAATTAAAGTGGCAATTGATACATGGATAGAAGCACATGAGACTACATTAATAACCAACAAACTCAAAAACACAAGAAAAGCCTGAAAACTTTAATTACTAAGACAAACATACCATCAAGAAAGTAAAGTGTTTATGTGATAATGAATGCATCACATGTCAAATTTGCTCAAAATGCATATCTTGCCAGATTAAGAATACATATAAGCCATAAAAAATATCGGTAAATCTTGGTCACAGATTCATCAGGGTATCTGTAGCAACAATTTTGATGAAAATAAATATATACATCAAGTGACAAGTAATGTAATTATGGCCTTCTCTAAGCAGTCAATCCTGGATAGCAGCCAAGCCGACAAATACTATAGCAGGATAGCAGATAGTGGGATGATCATTGTTGTGAAATCTAGACAACAATATATGTAATTTATAATTTTATATAATACACAAATATTGAAAATAGAAAAAACACTATTAAAGAATACGGACAATCTATTTAAATACTAATAATAAAAACTCATTGTGAAAAGAACCGATGACAAAAATTTAGAAGAAATAAATGGTTAAAAACTGAGGGATGTCGGAACTTGAAACGGGGAACTCATAAATTGCTGAATGTTCACATAAAAAGGGGAAAGTTAAAGAGATAAAACAAAAGACTTGATAGGGAAGAATTGGTAAAAACGTTAAATGTTACTGAATGTTAACATAAAACAGGAATTTAAAATGGGAAAACAAAAGACTTAATAGGGGCAATTATGTAAAAAGCATAAATGGGAAAACAGAAAGACATCTGCAAGAATTAACAGGGGGTGAAAATGAAAAGATTAAAAAAATTAAAAACCCAAATTCAATAACAAAACGGTAAAATAGGAAAATTCAATCTGTTGCGTCCACAATATTTCACCCCAAATGTTGAAATTGTGGTTGCTGGCACATTAAGGACATCTCAATTTTTTAGCAAAACAGTTCCACCCGCCATGACAGCAAAACCCACCCCACACCAACAATTTGCATTCCTTCCTTAAAAACTGCAACCACTATCTGTGAATCTCTACTAAAGCAGAGTACCTAGGGCCTTCTATCCTGTGGAAATATCTCGTGTGACGAAATTCATATCAAACAGGTTACCAAAGAGCCAAAATGGATGTTCAGATAATTAAGGATAACATAGCAGGTAATGGTATGCTATCATTGAACCATAAGAAGCAACATATTTGGAACTTCTCATGCAAGGAAAAATTTGTTACAGCAGTGATGTTGCACTTCCATGTTTACTGATAGCAAATTTCAAACAAACTCATAAAGTCAACTAAAACACTGATATTGATTTCTTCCGATGCTTACCCCTTGCGTAGAAGAGATTTGTGTCCTTGCAAACTGGGAATTAAGTTGGTCATGGCGATTAACCTGACCAGCATCCTGCTGTCTATTGTCCCAAGACCTCTCATCTGGATTAGCAGGAAGTTGACCAGAACGACCACGCCAATCACGGTTATCTGGCTCAGAGTACCTATTTTGTAATTGATGAGGAAGCTGCAGAAGATAAAGTGAACATTATTACATAAAACTTGAGTGCTGAATAGTGAATAGAATTACATATATAGATTTATAAATTTTTAATTGAAACAATCAAAATAATAAATGTAGCACTACAAATATCAGTATGATATTCTAATTATAGAGAAGTCTTCACTTCATGTGATACAAACAATTATGCTTTCCACCAAAACATAATCAACTTCAGCAATAAACTTACCAAATGGGATGAAGAGGATCATGGTTCTTAGAAAAATTTACAATATAATTAGAAGACAGAAAAAGATAGTTACATTGATTTCAGCACGGCCCCAACTTTGATCTTCACCAAAAAGCTCAGCTTCTATATCTTGTTTAATCTTTAGAATATCATCAGAGACCTCAACAACCTAGAAATCAAAAGTTTCAACAGCCAGATAACAGTTGCAACATAAATATCAGTTTATATGTTTACATGAGTCACAAAAGAATACTGACATATGATATTTCAGAAGTAGATTCCCCTCATGTATGGGAAGCAAAGGGGGAGGAGAAAAGTGAATGAAACAATAAAAAAGTATTCAGAGGCTCACGTAATAACATAAATCGCCTTTTAGTGGACAGAATCCTCCTCCCCTTTTCTCCAAAAAAAAAATAATCCATTGTTTAAAAGTTGTAGATATAAAAAGTGTAGTAGGCTTACAACAACGAGCCAAGAGATAGATGTGATTAGTATAAAACTTAAAATCTATACAAAAAATTAGAAAAATTCAGTAGCCATCACGGAATGTTAATTTTACAGTAAATTTTTGCAGAAGATAGATGTGCTTAGTATAAAGCTCAAAATCAATCAAGGAAAAGGCAGCAGAAATATATAATACAGAGTAAAAAAAGTTGCTACTTTAGAAATAGCTCAGAGAATTAAAACGAAATTTAAATAGCAAGAGCAAACAGTTACCTCTCTAAGCTGTACAAGCTGATCTCTGGTATACCGCACACGTTCACGACCCTCAAACCGTGAATCACCAGTCTATAAAACAAGAACAAATAACATACAAATCTCTTCACATGGCCCAGAGTAAAACAATCACCACTAAACCATAAAAATAATAGCACAAACTCCAATGAACTAAGCTACATGCACAAATATTGCAGAAAAAATCCATGTCTTTTACAAACTATGGCGATAAAAATGGTTATAACAAACAAAAAATGAAACTCAATAATAAACCAACATGTCTAGTAACATTTGTCCAATAAAAAAGATGTTTCGCTTTCCATCTACTCATTCGATACATTTAGTACATCATGCAGCCAAAGGCAGCTCAGGAAAACCGTCTTTGCAATCATTGCCTTAGCAATAAGATAGTTTTGAGAATTTTCACAAATAACACATAAAACTCAATAACAAACCATCATGTCTAGTAACATTTGTCCAAGAAAAAAAGGTTTCACTTTCCAACTACTCATTCATTAAAAATAAATATACGGAAAAAAAAAGTTAATAAAGTCATTTAGCACAAAATGCAGCCAAAGGCGGCGCCGGAAAAACCGTCTATACAACCATTGCCTTAGCAATAAGGAAGTTTTGAGAATTCTCAAACCACACATGAAACTCAATAACAAACCAACATGGCTAGTCCCATTAGACTAAGAAAAAGGGCATTACGCTTTCCAACTACTCATTCATTAGGAACAAACATACGGACAAATCGTCATGAAGTCAAAGGCCGCAGCTACATAAAAACCATCTTTACAACCATTCCCTTGGCAATAACAAAGTTTCGAGAATCTTCACAAACCACACATGTCCCTCAATAATAAACCAACATGTCTAGTAACATTTATCAAAGAAAACAATCATTTTCGTTACCAACTACTCATTAGTAGTTACAAACAAACATTCCAACAAAGTTAACAGAATCATTCAGCACGCCATGCAGCCTCAGACAGGTCCGAAATAACAGGCAAAGCATTCAAGTTTCAACAATTGTCTACTTCAAATCAAAGTTCAAAGACCATCCTGTGGGACACTAAATGTGGACACCTCTTCCAATGAAAATTCTAACCTTGATTCACCCCTTCCACCAGACCCAAACACCCTCAAAGAGGGAAAACAAACCCTAGTCAGAGACAAACAAGCACACCAATATAAGTGGGTCCTTTATGGGCAATCTAAAACTGAGCGAAGCCCATCTAAAGCCCACACATTGCTTTACGTCCATATTTACAGCGAGAACACATAACTGAGTGCTCCCACCAAGAATCAGGACATTCCAACTTCACACACTCACAACATAACTTCATTCCTATTCCCACAACCCTACACATCAAACACCATAAGCAGTAACGAGATCTAAACAAAAGGTCGAAAAATAAAACAGAGATCTAAAAGGAAGAAGACCTTGAGAGAGAAGGCGGCATGGGGGCGCGTGAGCGGGAGATCGGCGGAGGGAGAGGGAGAGGAGAAAAGCCTGCTTCCACCGCCGCGACCACCACCAGGCCTCAAGCTTAGGACAGTTGGATCACCTTGCTGCATATCACTACGATAGATTGGAGGGTGTTGTGTTGTGATGTGTTGTGTCGAAGATGTTTCTTCTCTCTCTCTTCTGCGCAGCGCAAAGAGAAGAGAATGAGAAAGAGAAACGGTGTGGGGGTGACGGTGAAACAAATAAAAACCCTTCTCACCACACCCTATGTTCTCTTCTTTTCCTAATTTTCCATTCCATTTATAATTTATAATCATACTACATAAATAACATCTTAAATATTTATTATATAATTAAAATTAAAATTTATAATTAATTATATATAATATGATTTAATATACATTTTTTTAATAATTTTATTTTTAAATTTTAAATAATAAAAAATAATATTATTCAAATTTGAGATTTTAAAATTTGAAAACAATATCTTTTAATCTAACAAAAATTAAAAAAATTTAAGTAATTTTATTAAATATAATATTTAACATACATAAATATACATAAATATAATACTTAAATATATAAATTATATTATAAATTTACAATAAATAATTTTACTAAAATATAATATTATTTTTATTTAGACTTAATTAGATTTTTATCCTTTAAGTATTGTAATTGTACAATTTTGATCCCAAGATTTTAATTGGGTAATTTTAGTCTATAAAGTATTTCAATTATGTGATTTTAGTCTTTCAATTTTTAATTGAATAATTTTAGTCCCTCAAATATCATAATTGTGAGATTTTAGTCTCTCCTATTAAAAATTTAATAATTTATATATATATATATATATATATATATATATATATATATA